ACTATCTGGTTAATATGAGGTATAAAACCACTATCTGGTTAATATGAGACATAAAACCACTATCTGGTTAATATGAGATGAGTTTTGGTTATTTACACATTCATTGTCACTGATATATTAACCCACTAGGGGGCACTGTCAGGACAGTCTGAAGCCTAGAAGGCACAGTAGGGACCCTCTGAAGCCATTGTATGGGACTGATAACACCTAAGAACGTCCATTTCATGGACTGATAACATCAGAATCCCCTGTGCATGTTGGGAATGACTCGCAGCTACTACCACATCAACGGTTAGCTCCGTCTCCATACAACTAATGAAGTTATTTATGTTTAATATCAGCTAAATGTGGCAGCCATGTTCAGTTAGACTCCAAGATTAATTGTATTGTAGGTGTTCACCCTGTGATCACTTTCTGCAGGTTTCAGAAACAGTTTGTCCAGCGGTTCATGAGATATTTTGCTAACAGGCGCATTTAACTGCATTCTAGTCTGTCTTTTACGTTTTGTCGGTGAAAAACAAGGGAAAGTGACACGCTGAAAACACCTGCAATCTTGTGTTATTAACGAATCAGTTCTAAAATGTGAATTATTCCAGTTTCTTCCAGTTAAACAGCAGAGAACTGCTTCGTGTCTCCATGCCGGCGTTAAAGGCTGAAGCTCCTGGGAAGAGCCTGTCAGTCAAAAGCCAGATGTTGGCTGCTGCTGCAGCTGCATCTGTTCTTCCAGCGGTCTGAAATAAGGACGCCTCACATCCAGGCTGAGAGAGTCCTTCCTGAATAGTCAAACTAATAAATGAACTCAATTGCCAGATAGATTAAGGTTACATTTGACTTGATCCTTATTTTACAGATTTCGATAATTATCGGGATCACCCCAAAGTCTCATTAGCGCCGTAATGAGGCGCTGCTGCTCCGTGACATCCACCCCGCTCCATCTCGTTAAGGAAATCGCTCTTCAATGCTGATTATTTTATTTGGAGCTATAATTATATTTCTTTCGGATAAATCACGGCCTAATGGAGTCCGAGCAGAGGGCAGTGGCGCTAATTGAGGCATGAGATGCGGTGGCGGGGCGCTCCACCTGGGTGGATGTGACCAGAGGGGACCCAGACCTCAGCTTCTGGGGGCAGCTGGGGGGCGAGAACATGCAAGTCCTGAATTCACAAAGCAGAGGAGGAAAGACCCCTAAAATGTGCTGATGCTGGTGCTGAGGCTTGTTTCCATCTGATGAATAGTTTTATGGTTTTAAAGGGATCCCTGATTAGTTGTAACATTTGATTTTATTTGATAAAAATATGTTTTAACTGCAAAATAAAGACTGTAGAAATACTGTAGGATGGTCAGTTTTTATAATTTTTAAACTAAAAGTTTAAAAATTAATTACACGGACGGGGCCATTTTATTTACACGCAAAGCATTCTGGGTACATGATGACATGGATAGGTCCTCGGTGCGAGACTGCTAACGAACTATATCCACCCTGAAGGTTAATCTTGGACAATATCTGAAGATCGACTCTTTTAAATGAAA